AAATTGTTTTCTAGCCTATTTGCAATATTCTGGAACGGTAAATACTATCGTCAAATCGAGATTCTCGCCCTCCCAGACGCACTCGTTCTCTGGGCGATTCCCTTGATCGTGTACTACTACGAGATCGGGGATAGTGAGTATTTTAGGAACAACTTTAGAAACAATTTCTTTGTCATTTTAAAATCCCCATAACGGACTAAATGTTAAACTGTAGCTTACAAAAAGTACGGTAATTCTGTAATCAATGTATAAAACACTCACTGTGTTAATTTATTGTTCCAGGAGTGAGCGAAGACGGAACTTTCCGATGTTACGGTGGCTGGTACTGGACCCCATTGGAGTATTGTACTTCTCTATTTTACACATGGAATTGGACAGTTGAATGGTTATCGTGGAATTGGGACAAGATCCTGTATGGAGTAACCGTTGTGACGTTAGGCATCGATTTGGTCACGTTGGGGAGACTCCACACACTTGTTCGTTTCATTTATTTGAGGAAAAAAAATCATAACTCTAGTCTCAGTTTAATTAAGCCGCAAGTTGATAGAAATTGTATTACAATGACTTGTTTAGAAGAACCACTCGGTATTGTTGAACAAAGCGAATCGTCGACTGTCGATCATGGTGAGTTCTGTTTTTATCTTAACAAAACCTAAAAGTATGAGAACCTGGGATTTTTTAAAACGCTCTGCTAAAGTCTCTGCACAAAAACACACTCTGCTAAAGTTAAAAGTAGATTTTCATTTCCCTAGCTCGTTTTAGCAAAGAATGAAAAAGAACTCAGTTGACAATGTAATCCACACCACAAAAGCTCAACTTTGGTGAAGCGGAATAAGGGGGTTAGGAACAGCTCTGCACTTAACACTATTGCCTGTACTCCTCACTATCAGCCAAATGTTTCTAATCAAATACTCCTCAACAGAGTCTCTTTCAGTTGGTGACTACCCATTTCATCACTGTCTGTTTCCTCGTCTCCGACTATATCGTCAACTATGTCTTCGTCGTTGGCTTCCCCATTTATTTCTTCATTCTCATTGAATGCGTTCCTTTCATCGATCATTCAGTACTCTGGTATGTTGTTTAAAGTTCCTTAATTTTAAAAACGAAAATTTTAGCGTCATCGTCATTTTATTCAATATTCCATCAAAAAAGAAATTGAAGGTGACCCAAGTGGCAACCGCTATCACGGGAGTCACCTCACTTCGGAATCACGCGATCAACGAGAATCGAAATTCGATTCCTCGTATTAAGATCAACTGATTGTAACAAATTAAACTAAAAAAAGCACTTATTGCAAAATCATTTAACAATTAATCACTCAAATACAAGTGTAGACTGTTCTTTTTGTTCTTGCACCAAAAACCATTGCTCCCACCGCAAACAAGTCGCTTTCCCTTGAACAATCATTTCAGAGCACAAAATCAAATCAAACGCAACGGGCTGATATTGGAACTCCCATTTACGTGGCACCTGAAATTAAAAGTTTTCAGCAAGTGGATGCGGAGGTGTGACACTTTTCAAACTAGAGTATAAAATATAAACCATTTTTTTATGAACAAGGCTCGAAAAACAGTTGGTTTACAGGAATATAAGTGTTACTTAGCACAAGTGTGATGTTATTAGACTTGCTGATCGATATTATCGCTACAAACGGCAAACTCATGTTTGACCGTTCAGAGCTCGGTTTCTAGAATAGCTATCAATCTGCAAGTTGTTTCAGTGAAGCCAAAATCTCAGCTTTTGATTACTATATCACACATAGCAAATTATCATAGGTGAGTGCCTTAAAAAGCTTATCAATACTTATCGATACTCAAATATCGATAAGCTTTTTGATAGTCGATACTTTCGATATCGATAAGTATCGATAAGGTTTATTCGTTTACTCATTAAAAGTCGCTATGTATAAAATGGCAATCAAGCTGACATTCTTGACTTTCCAATGAAACAATTTACAGAATGATAGCTGTGCTAGAAACTGAGATCTGAGTGAACACGCTGTTTGTATCAATAATATCGATAAGCAAGTCTAGATGTTATTCGATTGCAGGGTGAGTCAACAAACAATAAGGTGCTACTTTTTAAAGTTTTTAAAAGTTATTAAAAACAAAAAACTCCTTATAAAACAAAAAAAAATTAGTTTTATATTTTAAAATAAATGGCTGCATCTAAGTGAACCAAAAGCCTTTTATTTCGTTTTAACCATCAGAAAGATGTTGGGGTGAGTAGATGTTGATTGTTTTCTGACTGAAAAGAGTTTTTTATGCAGCAGACATTGAATGGGTCTCTCGAATTTGAGTTTCAATCATTCGCAAAAACAGGATTTAAAACTAGTCAAGACAAGAACAAAAAATAGTTTGTTTGTTTTGCAAAAGCAGCTCTTTCTTCATTTTTATCCCCATTGAGCGTTCAGCTGAGCGAAATAGTCATCCTGCTTGGCGCCCATGTACATGATCTGAAATGCGGAACTTGATGATGAAGGAACGGGAAAACAATGAACTCCTTATAAATTGTATTTTAAGAATCGTGTTTTTCTTAGAAGTGATACAAATGAATTCAGAAACAATTCGATGAGTGCAAGCTTTGTTCAGTCTTATCTCTCTTTCCCATCCAAACCTTTCCACTTGTGTTGATCACCGGTTTTTCCTCAACTTTCCCCGCGGCATCGCTTTCGATTTGCTTTCGGAAAAATCTGGCATTGAAATTTTAAAAGTTGAGTGAAATCTTGATAGCAAACTACTGGAGAAATTCTATAAAACCTGTTACCATCAAGGTTCAAGTAAGGCTAAGTTTTCCATTCCAAACCCGGTTGTTCTCAAGGTTTCGTGGTTCCACTGTACCACATTACTTACACTGTACTTACAGGTTTCACTGTACTCAATTCAACACACTTTTCCATCATCCACCTGAACTCTTTGAGTCTTGCTTGCAAAATTCTCTTTGAGAGCTCATAGCTCTGTCGATTGCAACAACTGCCCATCCAGCTGAACGTGAAATATTGCCTGTAAAATGCGAAAGTAAAGTGATAAGTTAAGAACATTGTACACAGCCAATTGCAAATTGATAAGCATTCCGAGTATGTTCCGAGTCGACCACGAGATCGGTGCTTGATGAATGCCGAAGAGGATCGAATAGACGATGTTGTTGAGCATTGTGTGAACGATGTAGATTTGCACTATCTGAGAAGGAAAACAAGAAACTATGGATGGAGAAGCACTTAATCTTTGACATTTATAAACAAAAGGTAAACTTTCGTACATTTTCCAATCTAAAAACCTTCACGATTTCCCTTCTTAACCATCTCATATCATGCTTTGTCGTCATTGTGTAACAACAAAGTCTAGTGCTAGCAAAATTGATAGAATTGGTCAATTCAAACCCGGATAGCCTTGACGTTCAATGTTAATTGATATCTAGCACTTAACGTATAGTCTGTCTCATGAAGCTTTCGCTGTAAATCGTCGTTAATCTTGGCGATCATCAGTGTTACCTGAAATCAGTTTTTAAGGCACCCACTTTTCGATCACTCACCAGACCGCCCATCAAAGTGGTCACAATTTCGACTCCATTCGAGATATTTCGCGTGAAGAACGGCACAGCTATTGTTTATTGTTTAAGCAGCAGGAATGGCTACCTAACAACGGTCATTTCTGCTGTCCATGCACGACAGTTTTTGCCTGACTGGTCTTTCAGTCGACAACGACTTAGCCTAGCTATTGAGCTGAAAACTTGTGCCCGGGGTTTTCAGGCTCGAGAAACACAATGCCGTTATTAGATTTTTGATTTTGAGAGCAAAATTTGGCGCACTTTTTGATGATGCCTCATTTTAGGTTTATAAAAGCGAGCCTTTTGTGTCAGTCGTACGAAAAGCCACGATTTGAAACACAGAAAATCTTCCCAGTAAGCAACATTGGGTTCGGTTATTCAAAAAACAAATAATCTTTGTTGTACACATTTAAAATTTTGAGAAACTATTGAGTTTTTAGAAAATAGTTTTAATTGGTTAAATAAAAAAGCGGGCGGGCTTGGATTGGATTCAGTAGGTAAAAATACATATCCTAGCATATTTTCAGAACTTTTTCTTGAGAAGCTAGGGATAAAAAACCTCAAAAGAACGGTCGGTCCACCGGTGGACCGTCTCGTCGCGAGTGTGTTAAAAGTTCAGTTTATAGAACTTTCAAAGAAACTACATATACAAACTACCCGCATTCTGGTACATCGCCCAGGAGGAGAGCTTGATTTCGCATTAAATGGCGATGAGGAATCCTTATTGAGGAAACTCCTCCTCCAAATGACGGAGTTCTGAATAGAAAAGGACAAACTAAGCCACGCTTTTGAATTTTTCAATTTTTACTTGAAGATCTAAAGTAAAGAGGTTAAAGAGAAATTAAGATGAATGCATTTTTGCAAGCTTTAGGCTTCAAAAGTTCATTTTTAGAACTACAGTGAACTCTCTAATGTGCAATCGAAATTTGGTCCCAAAAACGGGGTTTTTCATTAAAATTTCATTAGTACCTGTGGAAAACTATAATGTGGAAAATTTTCTGATCCCTGGAATTTCACATTAGAGAGACTCAAATACTTGAAACGCAAAAGCAGCCTTGCTCTGACTAAAAGCTCGTCTCTATTTTGTTAAAAATTCTCCATCATCTTTGTCCCCAAAAATCTCTTACCGAAAAAGAAACAAGCGGTGATGCCGACCGACAATAGGACACCAAATATTGTCAAGGCATAGAAATGCGATCGATAGTATTGTTCCTCGTAAGTGGCATAAAAGTTGAGTGCCACAATTCCTCGATCATTATACCAATGAAGCCAGCTAGTATTGTTGTTTAGACTCTTTGCTGATAGCCCGTCAAAACAAGTGTTTGGTACAATGTTCAGCCACATTTCAAATGAATTTTTTTTATTGAAAACCCTTATTTGACTCCCAAAAGGAAAAAAGTAAAAGTAACTTTTAAAAGTTCAAGCAATCAACGAACCTTGAATGAGAATGATCACATATGTCCTCGTAAAAGAAAGGATTTGTAAACCGAGAGGACACGTCTCAGTAGCTGAAATATACACGTACCTCGTATAGTGTAGCTGTATTATCCAAGTTAAACTCGTTTACTAATAAAACACACAATCATAACACGTTTCGTCACTCACTTTCTGCATAGAGTTCACAAGTGAGCCCCAGTTGAGTCTCGTAGCAAAAGATCATGAGAGCACGCGCGATTCCGTAGACGTAGAAATGATAGAAACCGGTGTGGATCATCAGAAGACAGTTTGTGTGATAAACCTAAACAAACCAAGAAATAGAACATAAAAACGAGAAGAGCTATGTTTTAGTTGCCGGCTTGAAGCTGGACATGTTTTTGGGTTATCGGACATTTTGTACGGGTCGCGCCCCTTTGCCATTGGCAATCTAGCATTGAGCTCAAATATCTTGGCATTGGGTTGTCCAGTTTAAACATTTTTGGTATTATTAGATGCGCCAAGTCTTTCTCTATCGATTGGTATAAAAACTATTTAAATTGGACAACCAATACCAAGATATTTGAGCTCAAAGCTAGATTGCCAATGGCAAAGGGGCGGAGCGTGTACCAAATGTCCCACAATCATGTTTTGTGGGAAATCGAGTAAATCTTGTAATTGCAAACACAAAAATCTTTGATGTAGTTTTTTTATCTATTTACATGAGCCGTCGATGCAATGTAGTGACATATTGGAACGGTGACGAAGGTCATCAAATAGATCAACATCTCGAGCGAATAACTGAACCACACAATCCCAGCCATTCCATCTTCGTATGCCACAGACATGTTGATAAAAAACGTTAGTTGGAGCTTCATTTTTGATGACAAGATTGTTCGTCGCAATCGATAAGCGACAGGGTCACCGCTTTCAGGGCAAGCAGGTGCTTTTGCGTTTTTTTTTTGCATTTCGTATGTATTTAGGCAATTTTCAGAAACAAGTAAAACTCTATTCAAATGGAAAGATCATATAGGATAGATATGGGTTTCGGGTCGGTTTTTCGGTTTTTCGTGTCTTCGATTTTCTAATTTCGTTCAGCTGATCGTCAATCACGCAATCACCGTCTCCTATTTGAGATCCAATCAACTCGCCAAGAGTCTCGTCGTCGTCACCTGGCCAATTCTCTATTTTCTCATCATCATGAAATTTTTGTTAAATTAAGCTCTCAGGCAGGTAAGAGAAATATTTCAGCTCGCCAACATCAATGATCTTCAGACAGTACATCTTACAGTTTTTCAAAATTAACTGCCCATCCACACACAAACGCCCAAAATATGCTGTTAAGTAGTGTTTTTGCAATTTTGTTGTTGCCTTTGTTGTTAGGTAAATTTTGGGTATCTAAGCATCAAAACTGAGTGAAAAAAGTGCATAATTCGTTTTGTATTTAATGATTTTACACACTACCCACCAGCTCCTTTGACCTATTTTTTACAAACTTCTATCACACATTTGTGCATATGGAGCTATTTTTAGCTTATTTTTAGTACACGGTGATTAGCGTAATCAATTCTACACTACACTGTAGTTGTCGATCGAAAAGATTTCCCTTGTGAGCTCACAAAGCATATTCATATTTCGATTCAGTTGTATCGTCATACCATTCTATCGGGAAAGAAAAAAAACACCGTTTAGGTTGCAACAGTTAGTTCATCAAGAATCTGAAAAAGAATCAAATATACATGCTTTTAATGAGTGAAATCGTTTGTGATTTGTAACCTTTCACAAAATTACAAGCAGACAAAACTGCAAATCTATCATTTCGGTCTTGTTTTGTGACTGTAAAAAGACTTTAAGATAGTGATGACGCTAATATAAACTTTCTTCAATAAATAATGAATTGCACTCTCAACGATAAATGAAAGAAAACACAGTTTAGTTTCTCACATCGATCTAGGTCATCAATCTTTTCGCCCACACCTATTAGTCAAGATTTTCGTCAGCAATCTATTTCTCCATTCCGATCGCATAAAAACTGGATATTTCCAAATTCTCTTGCAAAAGAAAAATAAAAAACTTACGAAAAAAACTTTCTTGGATAAAAAACTGGACTATTTCAGGAAAGAAGATCATCTTTTTTGGGTATTCATTTGAAAGATCTTTCTTCATCAAACATTTCACTAAACAACGTTCTTCAGCATATTTTGAGCTAAAACTATCTCACCAATGCTGCAAAAAGAGGATCGAGTGGATGTGTTTGACAACGATTTGCTGAATTCGTCATTCAATCGTCAAGTGTTCTCTTTGAATTCAACTCCACCACAAAAGTTTCGTGGCCACGAGGCGAGGTTATTCCAGGGGAAATTGTGCTTCAATCGAGAATTCGTAAGTTTATCAAAAATTCTGCCTCTAAATTAGCAAATCGATCTATTAACCATCTAAAAGTTTTATCGATTTCTGTGATTTTTCCGAAAAACGTTAGGGAATCCCCTTATCGGTGCCCGCTTGGAAAACCATTAATTTGTATGAAGCGGACACGTATGGCCCGACTGATCTGCTTCAACATGAAGGTTTGCTATATAAATTAAAGAGAAATCAACATTAATTATTATTTAAGAAACAATACCCCCAAAATTGCTCCATTTCGCAAATAAACGCTGGTTGATGATGATCAAAGAGCATGGGATAAGGGGCGAGACATATTGGTTGATGTTTCCCTGCACTGAGTAAGCAATTAATCTAAACTATAAGTTGGAACTAGGGCAGATCAAAAACTTGTGCGCCGCCTGACTCGAAGCAGCGAACTTTTGCTTACCGGGCAACTGTGTTAAGTATTACATCAAAAAGCACTTGATCTTGCTTACTCCAGAGGGAGTTAACTTATCTATAATTTCAACATGTCAGTCTGTTCCTCGGCGCAGCAGTGAGTTTTTCGGGAAACGGCCGAAATAACTACTGAAATAACCACTGGCTCTCGTGGCAGGCAGTGCACTCGCACTGAGTGCGAGAGGAGTTCAAGGGTTCGAATCCGCTTCCGATCGAATATTTTGCTTTTTTCATCAAAAACTCAAATATAATAGAGATAACTTTTTTAAGCAAAAAGAAGCGCGTCAACTTTGCGCTGGACTCGACTATACGTCCAAAGCGGGAAAACCCTCCGTAGACGGGTTTCCCGCTCGTGGTTTTTTTTATTGTTATAAATTTTTCTATAATCTTCTTTTAGAGAATGGGTGACATGTATTAGAAATGCGAGCATTTATCGTGGCGGCACTTCACCACAAATTGGATATTCTCCGAGTAAGAGTCGTTTTACGAAGCAAGCCGTAATTTTTTAAAGAGAAAAATTGAAACAAGCGAAAAAAAGTTGAAACTAAGGTTGAGTCGAGATTTAATAAAAACCGACGCTTCGGAATTCTTTTATTTTAAGGTCAAGCCTCAAGAGTTTTACCATCAGCCCCTCAACTGCCACCACAGCCACCACAGCCACCACCAAGACCGACTGGTCTTATTGATGCAAATAGTGATCGAAATGAGCAAAATGTTGGTAAATGTTCAAATAACTGATAAACCTCAGTTTATAAAACATTGAAAGTTCTTAAAACAGAGTTTCTAGTCATACTTTACTTCTCCTTCAATACCAATGCCAGAACCACAAAGGCCTCAAGATTTTCGTCCACCAAACACAGATGTTGCTCAAAATAGAGAGAATGTAAGTCTTAAGTTGCTTATTTTTATATACATAAAAGTAAAAATAAAGTTTTTATATTGTAGAATGTATTTCTCCGTCTTCCTCCACCACCACTGCCTTCACAGCGCTCGCCGCGATCTCAAAGCTCTCAAAATAACTCCAACCAGGTACAATATTTGTAAAAGATGACTTCTTGCTAGTAGATTTTGCACGTGAATTTGAGATGACCTAATAAGAAACTCAGTAATGGTAAAAGCAGAAAAATTTTAAAGGGAAACAGGCTAGGACCGATCGCAGTTGGGCTTGGTACGGCAGTTGTTGGTAGAGTGATTGGTGGGATGCTCGAGAGTGCTCTTGTAAGAACGATTTTATTTATCTTAAATTTAAATTAGATCTAGGAAAGTGCTCTCGGTGATGGTGTTGTTAACTAAAATCAGGTAAATTATGCCTTTCTCTCACAGATAATAAAAATCTTTTTAGACAGCTGTTCCAAAAATGTACCCAAATCTTTTCCTTGATAACCAAATTAACTTGTTTTATGGGTTTTCAAATAAAAAATTATGCAAGAGATGAAAAGAGAACTGCCGATAAATTGATTTAAACACCAAAATCTAAACAGTTCAAATTTTGATCTGTGATGCATGAGATTATTAGAGTAAACGACAGAAACGACTTGATTTTGTTTCTTTCTCCAACAGTGCTCAATCTTTTTGATGAGAAATTTCCGATATGGTTCAGTAAAGAACCAGATGAGAATCGATGAAATGCTGGCATGAGTGCTCGAGAGGACATAGAGAAGATTGATAACTACTGGAAATTATTTCAACTTTAGTTCAGACGATTCAGAAGTTCAGAAGAAGAGAAGATGAGAACTTTAAAAAACTTTCATCAACGTTATTTTGGTGGTTTTATAGGACTCTAACTTGAAAGCGTTCATGTTTAGATTCAAATTTGAAGATCAGGTTGAAGATTCAGCTCTGACTCAATTCAGGGAGATCGGATCATTTCAGATCTGATCTAAACATCCATTGTGGTAGATCTAAATCGTAGATCATAACGATTGCATATCTAGCCCACGGGACGGTGAGAGTTAAATGTTGGCTTACTATTCAGCAACTCCCAATAGACTACTCCTTCGATATCTTAGAAAACCGATAGCATAAACTTCTTCCGGTGCAATTCAGGCTTCGGATTTGGCTCGGGCGTCGCTCCGGGTGCCACCCATTGACGTCTCCTTTGGAAGTTCACAATAAGCACCCATTTCTCATCCCTCGAGCCTAGTAAAATTTGTTACTAAATGTGGATCAATTTGTTGCAAATTTTGCTACGTAGTATTAAGTCGAGTTGACTGAAAAGTCGGGTCGACCCGACCCGATCCGACCCGAAACCCATATCTACCCTATATGATCTTTCCATTTGAATAGAGTTGAATAAAGTGAAAATTGCCTAAATACATACAAAATGCAAAAAAAAAACGCAAAAGCACCTGCTTGCCCTGAAAGCGGTGACCCTGTCGCTTATCGATTGCGACGAACAATCTTGTCATCAAAAATGAAACTCCAACTAACGTTGTTTATCAACATGTCTGTGGCATACGAAGATGGAATGGCTGGGATTGTGTGGTTCAGTTATTCGCTCGAGATGCTGACCTATTTGATGACCTTCGTCACCGTTCCAATATGTCACTACATTTCATCGACGGCTCATGTAAATAAATAAAAAAACTACATGGAAAATTTTTGTGTTTGCAATTACAAGATTTACTCGATTTCCCACAAAACATGATTGTGGGGCATTTGGTACACGCCCCGCCCCATCGCCATTGACAATCGAGCTTTGAGCTCAAATATCTTGGTGCTGGGTTGTCCAATTTAAATAACTTTTATACCAATCGACAGAGAAAAACTTGGCGCATCTAATAATACCAAAAATATTTAAACTGGACAAACCAATACCAAGATATTTGAGCTCAAAGCTAGATTGTCAATGGCGAAGGGGAGGGACCCGTACAAAACGTCGGATAACCCAAAAACATGTCCAGCTTCAAGCCGGCAACTAAAACTCTATTTTTTATGTTTTATTTCTTTGTTTTTTTAGGTTTATCACACAAACTGTCTTCTGATGATCCACACCGGTGTCTATCATTTCTACGTCTACGGAATCGCGCGTGCTTTCATGATCTTTTGCTACGAGACTCACTGGGGCTCACTTGTGAAATCTATGCAGAAGTGGTGACGATACGTGTTAGCGATTATGTGTTTTATTAGTAAACGAGTTTAACTTGGATAATACAGCTACGTTATACGTGGTACGTGTATATTTCAGCTACTGAGACGTGTCCTCTCGGTTTACAAATCCTTTCTTTTACGAGGACATATGTGATCATTCTCATTCAAGGTTCGTTCATTGCTTGAACTTTTAAAAGATACTTTTACTTTTATCCTTTTGGGAATCAAATAAGGGTTTTCAACAAAAAATTAATTTGAAATGTAGCCGAACATTGTACCAAACACTTGTTTTAATGGGCCACAAGCAAAAAGTCTAAACAACAATACTAGTTGGCTTCATTGGGATAATGATCGAGCGAATTGTGGCACTCAACTTTTATGCCACTTACGAGGAACAATACTATCGATCGCATTTCTATGCCTTGACAATATTTGGTGTCCTATTGTCGGTCGGCATCACCGCTTGTTTCTTTTTCGGTAAGAGATTTTTGGGGGACAAAGATGATGGAGAATTTTTAACAAAATAGAGACGAGCCTTTGATCAGAGCAAGGCTGCTTTTGCGTTTCAATCATTTGAGTCTCTCTAATGTGAAATTCCAGGGATCAAAAAAATTTTCGACATTATAGTTTTCCACAGGTACTAATGGAATTTTAATGGAAAACCCAAATTTTTTGGGACCAAATTTCGATTCCACATTCGAGAGTTCACTGTAGTTCTAAAAATGAACTTTTGAAGCCTAAATCTTGCAAAAAAAATTTCTCTTTAACCTCTTTACATTAGATCTTCGGGTAAAAATTGCCAAATTCAAAAGCGTGGCTTAGTTTGTCCTTTTCTATTCAGAACTCCGTCATTTGGAGGAGGAGTTTCCTCAATAAGGATTCCTCATCGCCATTTAATGTGAAATCAAGCTCCTCTCCTCCTGGGCGATTTACCAGAATGCGGGTATTTATATGTAATTTTTTTGAAAGTTTATAAACTGAACTTTCAAAAACTTTCAAAAACTTTCAAAAGTTCGATAAACTGAACTTTTAACACACTACCGACGACACGGTCCACTGGTCCTTTGAGCTTTTTTATCCTTAACCCCTCAAGAAAAAGTTCTGAAAATATGCTAGGATATGTATTTTTACCTACTGAATCCAATCCCATCAATAGTTTCTCAAAATTTTAAATGTGTACAACAAAGATTATTTGTTTTTTGAATAACCGAACCCAATGTTGCTTACTGGGAAGATTTTTTGTGTGTCAAATCGTGGCTTTTCGTACGACTGACACAAAAGGCTCGCTTTTATAAACCTAAAAGGAGGCATCATCAAAAGGTGCGACAAATTTTGCTCTCAAAATCAAAAATCTAATAACGGCATTGCGTTTCTTGAGCCTAAAAACCCCGGGCACAAGTTTTCAGCTCAATAGCTAGGCTAAGTCGTTGTCGACTGAAAGACCAGCCAGGCAAAAACTGTCGTGCATGGACAGCAGAAATGACCGTTGTTAGGTAGCCATTCCTGCTGCTTAAACAATAAACAATAGCTGTGCCGTTCTTCACGCGAAATATCTCGAATGGAGTCGAAATTGTGACCACTTTGCTGGGCGGTCTGGTGAGTGATCGAAAAATGGGTGCCTGAAAAACTGATTTCAGGTGACACTGATGATCGCCAAGATTAACGACGATTTACAGCGGAAGCTTCATGAGACAGACTATACGTTAAGTGCTAGATATCAATTGACATTGAACGTCAAGGCTATCCGGGTTTGAATTGATCAATTCTATCAATTTTGGTAGCACTAGACTTTTTTGTTGACGACAAAGCATGATATGATATGGTTAAGAAGGGAAATCGTGAAGGTTTTTAGATTAGAAAATGTATGCAAGTTTAGCTTTTGTTTATAAATGTCAAAGATTAAGTGCTTCTCCATCCATAGTTTCTTGTTTTCCTTCTCAGATAGTGCAGATCTACATCGTCCACACGATGCTCAACAACATTGTCTTTTCGATCCTCTTCGGCATTCATCAAGCACCGATCTCGTGGTCGACTCGGAACATACTCGGAATGCTTATCAATTTGCAATTGGCTGTGTACAATGTTCTTAACTTATCACTTTACTTTCACAGTTTACAGGCAATATTTCACATTCAGCTGGATGGGAAGTTGTTGCAATCGACAGAGCTATGAGCTCTCAAAAAGAATTTTGCAAGCAAGACTCAAAGAGATCAGGTGGGTGATGGAAAAGTGTGTTGAATTGAGTACAGTGAAACCTGTGAGTACAGTGTAAGTATTGTAAGTACAGTGGAACCACGAAACCTTGAGAACAACTGGGTTTGGAATGGAAAACTTAGCCTTACTTGAACCTTGATGGTAACGGGTTTTATAAAATTTCTCCAGTAGTTTGCTATCAAGGTTTCACTCAACTTTTAAAATTTCAATGCCAGATTTTTCCGAAAGCAAATCGAAAGCGATGCCGCGGGGAAAGTTGAGGAAAAACCGGTGATCAACACAAGTGGAAAGGTTTGGATGGGAAAGAGAGATAAGACTGAACAAAGCTTGCACTCATCGAATTGTTTCTGAATTCATTTGTATCACTTCTAAGAAAAACACGATTCTTAAAATACAATTCATAAGGAGTTCATTGTTTTCCCGTTCCTTCATCATGAAGCTCCGCATTTTAGATCATGTACATGGGCGCCAAGCAGGATGACTATTTCGCTCAGCTGAACGCTCAATGGGGATAAAAATGAAGAAAGAGCTGCTTTTGCAAAACAAACTTCTCGTTATATTTTTTGTTCTTGTCTTGACTAGTTTTAAATCCTGTTTTTGCGAATGATTGAAACTCAAATTCGAGAGACCCATTCAATGTCTGCTGCATAAAAAACTCTTTTCAGTCAGAAAACAATCAACATCTACTCACCCCAACATCTTTCTGATGGTTAAAACGAAATAAAAGACTTTTTGGTTCACTTAGATGCAGCCATTTATTTAAAAATATAAAACTAATGTTTCTTTAGTAAAAAAGGAGTTTTTTCGTTTTTAATAACTTTTAAAAAACTTTTAAAAGTAGCACCTTGTTGTTTGTTGACTCACCCTGCAAATCGAATAGCATCTAGACTTGCTTATCGATATCATTGATACAGACGGCATACCCATTCAGATCTCCGTTTCTCGAAAAGCTATCGGAAATTACCCTACCCCCGTAAAGGAAATCAATGTGTCCAAGCTCTTGTTGTGTTTTTCGGAATCTTCGCATAAAGCTACCCCAGAAAAAGTGGTTTTGAAGAAGAAAAGTGCCCTCCCGCCAAAGCCAATACTATCCTCTACTTTAACTTTTAACGAAACTTTTAGATGCTTGACAGCAAAAGCTGTGTTTTTCAAAACAATACAAACACGGGCCTGAAGACTTTTTGAAAACGAATGCTCGAAAGTTAACCGCATTCTTCCCTTTACATGTTTGATTGATTATGTTGAGATTATAGTCTAAATCATAAGATATTCAGAGAGCAGATAATTTGCTACTTTTCTTTGGCTACTTGACTGAATATTTTTATTTTTTTGTTATTATGTCATTTTTGAACACATTGATTTCCTCTACGAGGGTAGGCTAATTTCCGCAATTTTTTTTGCACAACAGGGCCATTTGCGCAACTGGGTCATTTGGGCAACTCGCCATAACTTTCTTCTAAGTCAGCCAATCTTTATAATGTTGGTTTCATTTTATTGCACTTATTGAGATCTACAAAATGAAACCAACATCATAAAGATTGGCAGACATAGAATAAAGTTATGGCGAGTTGCGCAAACGACCCAATTGCACAAATGACCCTGTTGTGCCAAAAAAATTGCGGAAATTAGTCTACCCCCTTTTTACAAACTCCAAATGAGAAAAGCGCTCTCCACTTTCAAATCTCGTTACCGTTTCCATAAAGATAGCATTTCGAAAATTTTGAAGCGTTTCAGAAGACTGGATAAAATGGAATTTATTGATTTTTGTCCATGGAAAGGAACAAAAAGCATTTATCCGAATTGAGTGCTCGTTTTGCAAATCAAATAAAAGCGATTCGTAGGTACCAAGACGATCCATTTCCCATCGTCCCTCCAAAGCTGAAATGGGTTCATTTCTGATGGGAAATCTTTTGATAAAATACTTTTCGTTATTTTAGACAAAGTTTCCTCAAATTGATCGAAATATTTTTGGATTTTAATTATACATTGGAAATAAATAAATTAATAAATGTCGATGATTTCACGTTGAAGATCTCACAAAAGCGTGGGTGTTCGAATCCGGTTCTCCAGGCTTCCAATTCGTGAAATCCACCGGGCTTCCATCCATCCATTCAAAAACATTTTCTTTGTTCGGATTTCTCTGAATAAAGAATATTTTATGTTTCACCGTTGATCTTTCGATCAAATTTTTCTATTTTCATATTGAAATAGTTCTAGTTACCCAATTGAAACCATTATCTCTATCAAAGAACTATCAGACAAAGAAATAATTTTTTCACGAAGAGCCTGAAAAGGGCATTACTCTGTGTTCGTTCCTGTATTTTAATGAGAAAAAATCCAACCTTTAGTCCGATCCAGAAGAAATCAAACGAGTTAACAGACTTTGCTAAATGAATATTGATTGTTTTTGGATTTATAAAGCATAAACTTCTACGAAAATCATGAATTTTCAGAATTGAATCATTGGGAATTCTTACCGACTTTCTGAACAAAATTGTTCTCTTCCTGACTGTGAATTGTGGCTAAATGGCTCTGCCTGCTCCCACAATATGCCACGGCTTCATCAAATGTCATTTTTTGATCGAAAGCCTTGAGATGAAGATAATCCTGGTTCATAACATCCACCAAACCTTGTACCAAGAGCCGGTTTTTCCCAAATACAACCAGCCATCCAGATTCCAGGTCGTCGTTCGATTTCTGAATTTCTTCGAAAAACTTTACTCGGAATTGATTGGATTGATTGGAAACGGAAAATGGTTTGAAGCAATCGAAAGCAATGGAAGATTACGGTACCTAGTGCAATTTAGAATCCATCCCAACGCTATTGCGTATTTTTTCAAACAAATACTGCTTCCTTTTACACAAACAAACTCACGAATTTGGCAGCAACTTCGCGATTTCGCCCGTTTTGTTTTCTTTTTCAAATTCTCTAGAGGAATTGATTGGATTGATTGGAATCGGTGTTTTGGAAATGAAAAAACTATTTTCTTAAATCTCATTCGACAAGAGATACTAAATGAACTCACATTTGAGCCCTCAGTTCGGTGGCTTTCGTTGTCCTAAAAGGAGAATTGTTAGTTAACAATCTGTCATAGCAACGAATAACCAAAGAGAGAAGACAACTCACAACTCGGTCTTTAGCTCAAAGATTTCGGAGCTCAATTTCCTCTCGACCTCGGCATTTTCTTCCATCGTTTTGTTTAGCTCACTTGCATTACGGGATTGAAATACGTATCTAAATTGTCGAGTAGATATTGGAAAAGTTTAGATCAGATCAGTTAGATTGCAGTTTATCCCATCCGATCTGGTAAAATTTCAATCGACTAAAAAACAAATTTCAATCGACTTCCACCAATCTGCTCTGATCTCGCAAGAAACCGATGCTTTCGTTAGTTAACAGCTGTCATAGCAAATAATAACCAATAAGAGAAGAAAACTCACAAATCGGCTTTGAGCTTAATGTTTTCGGACCTCAATTCCCTCTCGACCGCAGCATTTTTCTTCCTCGCTTCGTTCAACTCCCCTCTCTCTGAACAACTCTAGCCAGTCGAGTTCTAATATTGTTGAACCTACAAATCGGCCTTCAACGCGGAGAAAGTCTTTGACAGCTCGGCGATTTCGGAATCTCTAGAAGTGTCTCATCCTCAGATATTTCTTAAGGAACCTCAAGACTCACATCTCGGCTTTCAAATCAGCACCAATCTTCGTCGTTCGTTCGCACAGTTCACAAATTTCTCCTCGAGCCTCGACGAGTTCTTGTTGGGTTTTACTCCTGAAAAGTCTTGTTCTTGGGACACTCAGACCAGTTTCTTGTTCACTCTATCAAATTCGCTTTATTGATTTGCTTTTCCTCAAAAAAACCCACAAACTTCTTTGACAAGATCTCAAATTGATGGGATGGACGGTATCCATGGACGACGAACCGACGAACGAAACTCTACTGCTGAAATCTAAGATCATCGAAAATCCCTTTCTGACCAACTTTGACGAAGAAATTTGACGGAAAAGAAGGAGAATCGTGATGAATAGAGCGACGGTCATCACACCCATTCCGATCAATTGGTGAATTCGTTTTGAATTCAAGGAAATGGGAAAAATGAATGAAGCGACGATGCCAAAGTGCCAAAGTGAAAGTTTTGACGGCCCGAAGGGCAGGAATAACTGTTTTGACGAGCCGGAATAGATGTGGAAGAATGGAATTTTGAGCATTTAAATGTTGCTTTCTGAGATCATTACAAACAAACAGACAGTTATTTTTGGATTCACAATACTACTAGTTTTTGTGGAGGCGTTAGAATTGCTTGCTTTTGGTGTCAAAATGAAGATACGGATCTAATAAATCAAATCTATCGCCTTAAATGTCCCCGTTTCGCAATGTCACCGAGTTAAAAGCCTCGAAAGAGAAGAGTTTTTAGTTTTTTTGTTTGTTTGTCAAAATTGTTTGTCAAAAATTTGTTTTTAGTTTTGAAATCAGTTCATTTTCCTGCTTAGGATCTTTCATCAAGTTATTTTTGGTTCCCCAAACTACCTTTTTTTTTGGAGGGGTTTTTGTTTTTGTTTAAATTAAAGGGAGGTATTTGTTTTTTTCTATTTTTCCCTTTTGCCGAGAAGTTTGATATATGGGGGTTGGGGGGGTTTTTGTTTTTATTTTTTTTTTTTTTTTTGTCTCTTTTTTTCCTATTTTTTTATTTCTTTAATTACAAATATTTTATTTTTTTTAATTTTTTAAATTTTTTCTTTTTTTTTCTTGACCTTTTGTTTTTCATCAAAAAACGGAAATTGCACCGATGTGTGAAGGGCCTGAATCACTGTTTTGACGACCCGAAGGGCAGGAATGAATTTTCTGAAAGATCGTAAATACTGTCTATTTTCTCCCTACCTTTTTTCGGACACCGCGAAAAATCACATAAGGGGGGACCATAAAAATCTTTTAAAAAAACTTTTAAAACCACTCTAGCTTGATTGGAAATGCTCTAAAAAGAACGAAAAACATGTTTAAAACCAGAAAATGTTTTCAGCCATGACCCCTAGAGGTCGGACTCTCGAAAATGATAATGGTCGGGGGAAAAAGTATTTTTGAAAAATTTCTTTTAGATCCTTTTAAATTTTAGTGCCAAGCCTTCTAGGTTATACATCTGGCCCATATACACCACTCTAAGCACTTTTCTTCCAAACTCTTTTTCGAAAGTAGCCACTGGGCGACCAAATTCGTAGGCGAGAATACGGAGGTTGACGAAGCTAGGTAACTCCACACGGTCAGAAGTCTTCAAAGACGTCAAAAGGGTAGCCAAATTAGGTTTTAGATCACAAAACCCTCGAAATAAGTCAAGTAAGGAAATTCCCTGAGCGAAATCAACTAATGACTAAACGAATTGGGCTTTCTTCTCGAGAAAATCTCTAACAGGGGAATGTTCTCTTTCCATCAAAAAAAACCGCTCCTTCTCTTTATTTTTTGTGATAATTGCTTTCTTTTGTCCGCCAAATAAATTTCTTGAGTGATTTTTGTCTTCTCTAATCAATTATCAAACAAATAGAATTTATTGAGTTCGGTCAATCTGGATAACCGAAAAAACATCAATGAGAGCATCCCAATCTCTCAATCAAGTCTCAGCTAGCACCTGTGAATCTTATTTATCATTTCGAATTTGGGGGAAATTTCGATCAATGAATCGAAGGGGCAAGAAAAATGAGACGAAACTGTGACAGTGCAGTGATAAATGAAACATTGTTTGTGCATTTGTTACCGAGAAAAGAAATCCGAGCTCCTCGATGCGAAACAGGCAAAAACGCACGATAATGTGCAGTTGTGTGTTTCAGAAGAATGAATGAAATGGGATTTATTGGTTTTTGTCCATAGAAAGGAACACAGACATTTCATCAGAATCGAAAACTCCTTTTGCAGAGAAAATGAAGGTGTTAGTTAGGAGAACAGACCAGCCATTTCCCAATGATGCTCTGAAGCTGAAATCTGTTCATTTCTCATGGAAATCTATTGATAAAACATTTTGCATTATTTCATAAAAAGAAATTTTCTGATTGATCGAAATAGTTTTGGATCACAACTGCACATTATCGTTCGTTTTTCTCTGTTTCGCATCAAGGAGATACGATTTCACTTCTCGCTAACAAATAAACAAAAATGTTTTGAATTTTTATTGTTTATGAATTGCAAATCATTGGGAAAAGCAGTACCACCGGGCGTATCCTAATACCCGTAGCTGAGCGTCGAGTTCGAAAGAACGCAGAAATGTTATCAATCCCGCGGAAATCCTGGGCCAAATTGAAGAAAACAATTCGAAAGGGAACTCGTTCGCAGCCCACGCATGTCAGAGCGAAATTCAAAGATAAGAAGTGTTCTTTGAGTTTTTTCGATCGGATTAATCGATCTGGATCCCTCACATATTAATAGGTGACAAAGCAGGAATTCGTCTTTATTGACTTCCTGACACGCTCCCCCAATGAGATTCTCTCGGATTTTTCTGCTGCTGCTTTTCCTTCTTCATCTTCAGTTGGCTGATGGATTGGCAAGGAGTGAAATATTGATTTTATCTGTAAGCGGATTTTAGTTTTGGTTTATTCCCATCGCCATGGCCCTGAACACGGCGGCCACCATTGGTACTTCGGTCTACTCGATCGTCCAGGGTGAACGAGCCGAAAAACGCGAGCAGCGGAGAGAAGAACGGGAGATCGAATTGATGCAAGAAGAGGTTTTTTCTATCACTTATTCTTGAATTGAGTTGATTTTAGAGAAGAATGTCGCATCAAGAAAATCTACGTTTAAGAGAGGAGGTCGAGTTGACTTTTATCGTTTATCTTCTAACCTTTCACTTATTATTCTAATTGATCCATTTTTAGTAGGGTTCGGGCCAGAATCTTTACTCTACAAATATATAGAGGCGTTTCAGTTGAAGCTGCCTCTTTTCAATTTCATTTCAGAATCGCGGCTTTGGCGAATTCATCTACGCGGCAAATGGCAAATTGGATGATATACAATATGTATGTTTGCGTCAGCCATAAATATTAGATACGGAAAAAATTAATGTCGTATTTTTTCACGAAAGTTCAAACGTTCAAAAAATTTTTACTTCAAAAGCAATTTAATCGAAGTAAAAACCAGTTGAATCTATACATGATTGCCAACGTTTTGCTAAGTTTTCAATTCCTAAAGTGTCGAAGGCGGGCTCCATCGAATCGATAAACTCCTTGATGCCATTTTCGACCTCCCCTTGAGTAGCAAAGCATTTCTCCGAGAAGAAGTGATCGAGGAACTTGAAAAAGTGGAAATCCGTAAGCGACAAATCAAAAGAATATGGAGCTTGAGGGAGGACTTCAATGTGCAGCTCGTTCAATTTTTGAAGAGTCTTCAGTCAACAATGCGGGCGGGCGCTGTCTTGCAATAGGTAGGGACCCTTTCGATTCACTAGAGCTGGATCGACTCTTCGAAGTCTTTCATACATTTCGTTGATTTCGCTATATACTGATCAGAATTCATCATTTTTCCGTTTGACAGTATTGAATAATGGATCAGACCTTTCTGTGACCACCAAACACGGAGAAGAAGCTTCTTTGGGTGTAGGTCGGGCTTCGGAAAGGGATTCGGTGGTTTTCCTTTATCTAGCCAGGCTTTGCGTTTTCGGTTATCGTAGAGGATCCATTTTTCATCACAAGTTACAATTCTATCCAGAAATGGCTCCTTTTGATTACGAATCAGCAATGAATACGATGTGAGGTAACGGTGCAATTTTTGATATTCGTTCAACTGATGAGGCACCTACTTTTCCAAGTTTTTTGCTTTTCCGATTTCCTTGAGATGGTTTCCAATTGTGTGTGGAGTGACCCCAAAGTGCGTGGCTAATTCTGTCTCCGTTGTTCTGAGATTCGCTTCTACCAGCTCCTTTAATTCGCCATTGTCGAGACTAACATGGCGTCCGCGGCCTTCCTTGTCATTAAGATCCTTGTCGCCTTCCCGGAATCGTTTGAACCAGCGCTGAACTACACGAACTTCAGCTTTGCCTTCCCCAAAAGCTTGATTGATTTTTGGGTCGCTTCTGACGCATTGTGGCCAAACTTGAACTGATACAAGAAGAGAAGGCGAAAGTCTCGATTTTCCATCGATGTAAAACAACCTGAAAAAAACCATTAATGAAGGTCTAAGCAAAAGTGTAAAACAGAAAAGAAAATTGAGAAAAATATCAAATACATAAAAGACCCAAGGTCCAATAAGCATCTGCAGCCGCGTAGGCGTCGCCAGAAAGTGAGACCCACAAATCCGACATTAATTTTTTCCGCACCTAATATAAAGACTGAAACTTTCCAGATTTCCAAAGAGACTCTGCAGCAAGTGCTTGCGAACAACGAGGATCTCCGAAATTTGGATCAAAAGCTCAAGTTGGTCGGGGAATGCGGCTAATAAAAATTGCAGTCACAAATTCGACGAGGCTCTTCGGGGACTCGATCGAAACAGCTTCCTTATCTCCCAATATTCTCAAGGGCTTTCGAGCAAACTCGATGTTTGTTCTTTCAACTTCATGTCAAACTGTAAAATTCAGAATGTCAGCACCGGAATTATGGAAAAGTTCTTGGAGCAGAGGAAAGCCACCGATCGCAACACCGGTCTCATCGAGGATTTTCGGGACGAGGTGCAATTTTGAACTGATGAACCTATGTGATGTTAATGATACAGATAGCTAAAGGCATTGTGTCTCTTTTCTGTTGTCCCTTGAGCTATCTGTTCAGGAATCGTTGAGAGGATTCTAGTCAGTCCAACTCCTGCTGCGTTTGTTTCGAAGAACAAAAAGAATAAACTTCAATCAATGTAGAACGCTGTCAAGTAAAACATTGCAGACTCTCGACGATCTCTTCTACATCGCTAGAAAGCTGCAACTCAATGAAGAGCAAACGGCGGCGGCGAGAAAACACCTGATCGAGGTGTGAAGAAATTGGAAATACCAAGAACTTTTCTTTCAGGGCATGAATGCGGGATTTGTGGCCGTGCAAGAGCGAATGATCGAACATCACACAAAACATTCGAAACACTTGAGTCAATTGGGCAATTCGGTTATTAGTTTTGGGCGTTTGAGAAGAATCTACATTTTCAGTTAACATTCAACTCGCTCGTCTTGCAAGCCGGACATGAGATCACACAGAAACAGCTGCAGGTTCGGCTAAAAAGAGCCATGGGTCGATGGGTAGCTCATAGAAGTATCCAAGTCATTGTTTTTGTATTAGACCGATCTACGTATTTTTGGTACTTGTTGGTTATCTCCCCCCAATTAGCATACGCGCGAAATTAGTATTTGACTGCATTAGCGAAGCGCAGCGGAGCATCGATGGTGAGGTGGGTGGAAAAATTTCAGTCCGCTGAGCGGTTGGCTTCTTTTATCACCTTTTAGATGCAAGGTACAAATAAAAATGTGATAATGAGAAAACAACACGAGAAATTTCATTGTTATGAGATGAACATCTTCAGACTGCTTGCTTCCGAAGAAAATGCTTTCAAATGGCTACTGAGGAAATCTGCTATCCACACGCACTTGAAGACACGGGCATACAATAAAACTACAAGTTGGAACACAATGCAAACTCAGCAAATGTGGAACTGAAATTGGACTCCCGAGTTGAGAATTGACTTGCCGAAAGTCGTCTACGGTTTGTGAAGATCGTACAATTTCATTTATTGATGGACTCACAAATTAGCTCCTGTGGCATTCTGCCAAAGAGAACTCGCGATGCAAATCAATGCTGTTATTGACTGAAACAATTTTTTGGGGACCGATTTTTGGTGATGATTTGTTGTCAAAGCTAGTATAACAAATCGGTGGGGGAGGGAAAGATCGTCGAAATTGATCAGTGTATATTCACCGAAGGAAAGAATCACGCAGGGCGAGTTCTACTTCAACAATGCATTTTCGGTGGACTCTGCCGTAAAACAAGCGAAAGTATCTTTGTGATGGTTCCTGATCGGTCAGCGAAAACACTTCCATCCGAGATTATCAAACAAATTGCACCTAGGTATACTATCTACTCTGACTCATGGAAAGGGTAAAATTCAAACGACCTAGCGCAAGCGGGCTATGAGGAATTGAATCAGATCCGACCCGAATGGAACCAGATTATATCTCCCCACCAATGCTCTGCTGCGCTTCGCTGGTGCAATTAAACGCTAATTTCTTTGGGGGGAGGTATATAACCAATAAGTACCGTATTTTCCCTTAACAGACAACAGAGTTAGCATCTTTTTAACTCTTCGAAGCTCAATAACACCAAAACTATAAAAATAGTTTGTAGAAAAAAGCTTTTTAGGACGGATTTGACGAGATGAGAGAGGAGGCCGTCGAGCACGCCTTGTCGCTTGACGTGATGAAGGAGGCGTTCGAGAACAAATTCGACGACACAATGAAAGGTTGGTTGAGCGCCGATCAGCTCGTCACTGAGCAGCTTTTCGATAACCTCACTATGTGAATCGTTCAGCAATTCTCGCCAATGCGAATCGAGCCGAAGCCCTGAAAGTCCAAGTGAGCCGACTGGAGACGAAAATTCTCGACGGTTTTCGGTGAGTCATGACGCATTTTGATGAAATAAAGTGTGGTCGAGTGAGGTAGAAATGTGAGGCTTTTGCCTCTGATAGTCACTGTGACCCCGAAGCTTATTTGGAATAAATTTGACTCGAAAACTATCCAGAAACATCACAAATCTTCGAAGACTTGACGTTTTTCAGTGACCTAAAAGATTCATTCACGGCGGAAATCGCCGACTTTCGAGCAATCTTCGAGCAATCGGAACTCAGAGTATTCTTGAAATGATTAGCATTCATCATCAGTTGGTATTTCAGGCAATCTTCAACCCGATCAATTCGACATTCCAAATGATGAATCGCTACATTCAACACCGAGACGCAACAAGCGAGAAAGAGTTCAAAGAGGCCTATTTGGGCTCGCAAATACGAAACAAGTACTCGGTTTGTTGGAGGTTAAGGGTTAAATGAGAAAATGTATTTGAAGGAGATCGAAAAGGAATTCAAGTATTTTCTCCAAAAACATATCAGAACAGCAGCTGTAAGGGGCGATTTTCAATTCGAGAATTACGAGCAGCTGCGCGACCGCCTACTACATCATTTCGAGATGGCCGTTCGTTTCATTTAGACTTTATATTTAAGTTGCTATGTCCAGCACTTGGCTCGTATCTTCTATCACGGATTGGATATGGTGCACAACGATAAAAGCTATCCAGCATTTCTCAAATGGGAACTCGAGACAAAGAAAGAACATCACAAACACCTGGAGATATTGAGGCATCAGGATTTTGAGGTTCGTTGTAGAATCTCTAGACTCTATTAGGTTGATGCACAAGACAACTATCGCTTCCACAAATCTTTCCACTTGAATCATTTCCAGGATATTAAGGATACACATTGCTCAATATCTAGACCAAGACTTAAACGACTAGTTTAGATTCTATCGAGATATGAGAATCCAAAGTTCAAAGTGGCCATTTTTGGCATAAAATGGGCCTTTTTCGTAAAAACAAAGATTTAGCTCTGAAAGACGAACAACCAAAAGGAGTTCTTTTCTTTTATGTTATTTTGAAATAACTTTAATTGACGGTATTTTCTAACGGAAAAACCCGGCATGGTCATTATCAGAGACACATTTCCCAAAAAATCGTCATTTTTGACCTTTCTCATGGGGCTTTCTCATAGTATACAAAACATATTGGTTGAGGCTTGTAATATTTTTATTTTTGGAAAGATATGTGAGCGCTGACTTCATTCTTACCACCATAATATGTAGATTACTTCTACATTCAACTCTTTTAAACGCACTTAGCCCCGGAAAGGAACTCCGATACAATTTCTCTTCTAGATGCGCGAAGAGGTGGCCCGTCATGCTTTCGAAGTGACTCCCGTTAACTACTTGAAAGAGACGACGGCAGATCATGACGGCAAGTTGACGGATGAGGAAATTGTCACCCTTCTTGCCGACATTCAAGACGATCTGCACAATGAGAAATGGTGGGAATTGTGGAGAGATGACTTTCCTCGAGCATCAACATTTAGGGCCGATACGAATCGATCTCTCAGTCAATATGTGGTCTTTTCGACGAGAGACTGTAAGTACTCGATGAACCGATATCATCATCACAAATCACATTTCGCTTATTACACGGTTCGTCTATTTGGACAATAGCTTGAGATATTGAAGAGGAAATTCAACTCATTTTGAGCTGGATTCTACATCTAACACCTAAGGGACATCTAAGGGACAACTCCAGAAGATAGAATTATTCATTTGAATTAGTCGTAGCTTCATATTGCTGCAAAAATAAAGTATGATTCTCCTTCAGAACGCGCAAAACATGACCTTTTTCCTCTATCGACAAAGACATGATCTCTTGACTGAGAAGTCATTTGATGGCGATTACGAAATGGGAAACGTTTTGGCCTCGAAAACCGTCAAAAATGTGCTTTTGGATCGGTGAGTTCGATAATAAAAAGATACGAGTAAAAACAGCAACTCTAAGCTTTAGGATCCATCGAGTGGCCCTCGTTGAGAATGGGGCGATTTCGAGAGATATCGGTCAAACGATCCACATGGCTGCCGACGAGATTTGTGCCAAGAATTGTCGGGTTTGAGCTTTAATTCATTTCAACGATCAACAATTGGAACAATTGGAAATACAACCGAGCTCATTGATTTGGGTCAAGGAATTTAAGGCTCATACTCTTTCACTGGGCCAAACAATGCATCAGTGCATTAAATCGCCAACCTCCGAATAACCCAGGACTGCACTAATTAGAAATGAATGATCATTGATATCATATTGTGAATATTTGCGATTTCAGGCGCTGCTCACCTCGCCGAGCAATTGCATGGTCATCACTCCGGGTGCCGTCCGCTTTGCTGCCATTTTCAGTCCGTTTGGCCTCGTGGAGATCTTTGTCGGGCTATAACGACATCAGGGAAATATTTGACTCCAAGAGTTTTCTTTGTCATCAATTTATGATTTCTTAGTTAATAAGCGTTTTTGGATATTCTGTGTCACGATAAAGTCACATATTCGCAAACATCCCCCTATCCAATTTTGATAGAGTCTTGGTCTCTTCATCTGAGATTCGGATTACTTATGAAATGCTGGATTAGTTTATCGCCTATTGAAAGCAGCTCAATAATTAAATTCATGTCAACTAGTTAATTGTACTAAGTGAAAATGAATTACCCTTCAATTTAGACTTAGAGCCTTGTTTGTGAGGTTGATTGGTGCGCAACATTTACTTTGAGTCTCAGCAAAACGTGTGTACCTGTTAGTATTGTAGTTTATTTTAATGATCTCTTCGAAATGAAAAGAAATAAAGTAATTCAACGTTCAGTTGGTAGTTGCACCAGAAAGTTTTTTAAAACAAAAGTATGTGTATAGGGGATTTTTTCACTGTCAAGATCGAAATTTTCCATATAGAGAATAAGCGTCTCTTTTTGCACAAAAGAATGCCTTTTGCAAATGAATTCTGAAAAAGAATGCCTTTTGCAAATTCCTGCCCTTCGGGTCGTCAAAACAGTGATTCAGGCCCTTCACACATCGGTGCAATTTCCGTTTTTTTGATGAATTTTGATGCAAGATGTGTCATCCTAAGCAGAAAAATGCACTGATTTCAAAATTCGAAAAAAATTTTCAAATTCGTCTGACAGATCTTTTGAAAAATCGTGCTTTGGTGAAAGAAGCGTCATTTACAAGAAACCCGGAAACTCCTCCCTTTCGAGGCTTTTAACTCGGTGACATTTCGAAATCGAGACATTTAAGGCGATAGATTTGATTTATTAGATCCGTATCTTCATTTTGACACCAAAAGTAAGCAACTCTAATGCCTCCACAAAAACGAGCAGTGTTGTGAGTCTAAACATAACTGTCTCTCTGTTTGTAATGACCTCAGAAAGCGACTTTTAAATGCTCAAAATTCCATTGTTTCACATCTATTCCGGCTCGTCAAAACAGTTATTCCTGCCCTTCGGGACGTCAAAACTTTCACTTTGGCACTTTGGCATCGTCGCTTCATTCATTCTTCCCATTTCCTTGAATTCAAAACGAATTCACCAATTGATCGGAATGGGTGTGATGACCGTCGCTCTATTCATCACGGTTCTCCTTCTTTTGCATCAAATTTCTTCGTCAAAGTAGGCCAGAAGGGAATTTTCGATGATCTTAGCTTTCAGCAGTAGAGATGAGAGTTCGTCGTCCATTTATACCGTCCATCCCATCAATCTGAGGTCTTGTCAAAGAAATTTGTGGGTTTTTTGGAGAAAAGCAAATCAATAAAGCGAATTTGATAAAGTGAACAAGAAATAGGTTTGAGTGCCCCAATGATAAGACTTTTCAGGAGTAAAACCCAAACAGAACTCGTGGAGAGCCGAGGAAAAATTTGCGAACTGTGCGAACGACCGACGAAGATTGGTGCTGATTTGAAAGCCGAGATGTGAGTCTTGAGATCCCTTAAGAAAGATCTGAGGATGAGACACTTCTAGGGATTCCAAAATCGCCGAGCTGTCAAGGACCTTCTCCGCGTTGAAGGCCGATTTGTAGGTTCAACAATATTAGAATTTGACTGGCTAGAGCTGTTCAGCGAGAGGGAGCTAAACGAAACGATGGAAGAGAATGCCGAGGTCGAGAGGTGAGGTCCGAAACCATTGAGCTAAAGGCCGAGTTGTGAGTTTTTCTTCTCTGTTTGACTATTCTTTGTTATGACAGATTGTTAACTAACGAAGAAGCGGTTCTTTAAGATCAGAGCAGCAGATTGATGGATACGAATTTAGAACGTCAATTTAGATGCGCATTCAATCCCGAATGCAAGAGAGTAAACGAAACGTTGGAAGAAAATGCCGAGGTAGAGAGGAAATTGAGGTCGAAAACATTGAGCTAAAGGCAGAGTTGTGAGTTTTCTTCTCTCTTTTGGTTGTTCTTTGTTATGACAGATTCTTAACCGACATATCTCCTTTTAGGGCCGCGAAAACCACCGAATTGAGGGGCCCAATTGTAGAGTTCATTTGGTATCTCTTGGCGACTGAGACTTAAGAAAACAGTATTTTCATTTCCAAAACACGATTCCAATCAATCCAATCAATTCCTTTAGAGAATTGGAAAAGAAAAAAAACGGGCGAAATCGTGAAGTTGCTGGCAAATTCGTGAGTTTTTTGGTGGAAAAGGAAGCAATATTTGTGTCAAAAAGTTTGGAGTAAAGTTTTTCGAAGAAATTCAGAAATCGTGAAATCATCGATATTTATTTCAACGTGAAATCATCGATATTTATTCATTTATTTATTTCCAATGTATAATTAAAATTAAAAAATTAAAAATTAAATTTAAATCCGAAAATATTTCGATCAATTTGAGGAAACTTCTTTGTCTAAACTAACGAAAAGTATTTTATCAAAAGATTTCCATCGAAATGAACCCATTTCAGTTTCGGAGCGACGATGGGAAATGACTCGTCTTGGTACCTCCGCATCCCTATTTTTGATTTGCAAAACGAGCTCTGAATTCTGATAAATGCTTTTTGTTCCTTTCCATAGACAAAAATCAATAAATTCCATTTTATCCAGTCTTCTGAAACGCTTCAAAATTTTCGAAACAGTCGACTGGTGCACCCTCAGAATGGTAGCAATTCGATCCTGTCTCTCACCGGCTTGATGAAGAGCCACAATCGTATCCCGATAGCAGGCTGGAGTTTTTCTTGCGACCCATTGACTGAAATTAATAAAATAATAAATTTCAATCAAATTATAGCTCAAATTAAGAAAAAAACACAGAAAAATAATCAAAGTTACTGGGAAATGCAAAATTATGCTAAGTCTTTGTCGCACCAGTTTTGTATAAAAATCTTCAAAAATTTTTTCGGAAAGTCTATCTGGCTAAATACCAATTGTTTTTGTTAAAACATCAAGTTTTATTATTATATTTCGAAGTTTTAGGTAAATATTGCACAAACAGCGAGTTTTATTACAAAAAAACTAAATTATGCTAAGTCTTTGTCCGCTACTGTAACTACATTGGTCAAAGGAGTCGGAAGTATCCTCATCGTTCCCCCTATCCGATCGCGAGGTGGAACGTCTATCAGCGCGTGGTCAACAACTTACAACTAGGAAACAGTTCGCAAGAATCATACAATTCGCGTTTAAAGGGTATCTTTTATGGTTTTCTTTTCGAATTACATTTTTAGGGGATTCTCCGAAAAACTTCTGCTCACCATGTTGCCCTCCAACTGTTGCATCATCAAGAATAATCTGGAAAACGACATGCGGATGCTAAAATCAAACTTCTCACCGATCCTGTGATGTTTCCCCAGTCTAAATCGGTAGCTATTAGACATTTTGAGCTTAAACAGGCAGGCCTGAATCCCCTGCGGCCACCGCTCCTACTTGGCTATCCACGCTATCCATTCGGTTTATCGCTATACATTTCTCCCATAAAATGTTTTATTTTTTTCGTTTTTTCATTTCATTTTTTCAATTTTTGCCCTTGTTGTTTACGGTTTTAGTTTGTTTTTTATTGCTAAAATGAAATTACCGTAAATACTGTAATTGGACCCCATGGGGTACTATTTTTTCCCTCCCCCTCTAGGGTGGGGTACTATTTTACACCACTATTCCAGAGTTGCCAAAAGATAATAATTAAAGTAATTGAATCGATTAAATCGATAATTACAAAGATAATTAGAATTAATCAATCGAACCTGCAATCCTGGAGGAATCGGTCCATCCGCCTTGAAACAATTAATCAAATCACCCTCATCTCCATTTAAGGCAATGCCGATCCCAAAAGCCTTGAATGATTCTCACATCATGTCTTCGGTAATTCGCCCCCACGCTTCCAGGATCCAACCCAAGCAGGTTTTTATTGATGGAGGCTTGGGGTTCCCGCCGCCAGTGTCTTTTCGTAATCGCATCAAATCGGGAGCCGATATCAAGATCCAATCCTCGTATTGCTGGCTAATGTTGGCCTTGCATGGGGCGTTCCATGAAATGTCGGCTGGGTGAAACTATTTTGTCGTGCCACCAGGAACATAGGCTACAATCCATCTTCAACTTCTCTAGACATTCCTTTGTCGATTCACTTTTGACAGGGTGTTGATCCCAAACAAGTAGTGATCGTTCCTTTTTATTAAACAAAAGCGTCTCTTGCGCACGTACAGTCAGGAACAAAAGTCTTGGCGGCTCCTGGGTGGTAACTTTCAAAAGTGAATTTATGAAAATTTCCGAGAGGCTATAAAAAAGTTGTCACAAGTATTTTTGAGCATTACTCTACTTTTAGCTATGACCAAGCATTGAAATCGAATGTTTATTTTAAACAACAAAAATAAGCGTGAACGACAAAAAGGCCACAAAAAATGGACAAAAGTCTTGGTGGCTCACTACAATACTCGTTTTTTTTTGTGTATCTTGCCTATATTTTTGTAATGTTTTAATTTTTTTTTCAAATGCCTGAAGCGTATTTATCAACGCCAGACAAAAAAGCAATTGTAGAAGCAAGAAATAGAGGAGTGAAAGTAAAGAACATCGCGGAAAAATTCAAATGCGGTATGAGGACAGTTGACCGCATCACACACAACGCATATGCAACTGGAAATCTTCATCGAAAGCTCAAAACAGGCCGCCCACCGGTTACAACTCCAAGGGAGAATCGTAAACTCCCTTTGGATCATCGAGAAGAGCCGAAAAAGGCAGTAACCGACGGCATGGCTTTCATCAAGAGTCTTTCAAATAAGGCTATCTCGCGAAAAACTGTTAGCCGTCGTTTGGTTCAAGCTGGATTGGTGACTAGAAGAGCCGCCAAGAAACCCCTAATGGTTGCCAGGCACCGAAAACTCAGGTTGGAGTTTGCGAAAAAGTACGCAAGTTGGACCGCCAACGATTGGGCAAATGTTATTTTCGCTGATGAGTCAAAAGTCAATCTTTTTCAACC